ATCCAAACCCAAGACCCAATTCCATTTCTTGAAATTCTATAATTAGGTAATTTGATAATTTTAGTGCTTAGGTGAAGTTGCAAGTGGGGATTTCCTTAATCCTTTTCCGCATAATTCTGCTGCTACGGAGTATCTGTGAGTGGACCCTTTCTAAAATTTGCATAATTTCTTAGTTTAACTGCATAAATTAAATGCATGCCTTACGAGTTTATGAACTGATTTTATGTTAAGCATGTTTATGGAATATATTGTTTATCATCTCGTTTTGATGAGGAATTAATTGTTGGCCTATATTGAGCTATATTTTAATATATCGTATTTCCTATAAAAACCATGAACTGGTAGACTATCAGATGGATGACGACAGGATGCTAGAACATGTTTTAGAAACCCCTCTTTATAGTATAGACAATAGATGACTTTATAATATGAAATGGCTATTTATGAGAGGCGTAACTGTTTGTGCATACCTAGTGGACATTATGCCGCCTGGGGCGAGGATCTGGTGTTGGCAGATAGGCCGGGAGAAATAATCCCTAGCTACGGGCTGAGGGACACAAAGTAGGCATTGGGCCGGGAGTTGGTAATCTCTGGCTACGGGCGCAGAGACCACGGTGCTGGCATAAGGCCGAGAGTTATATTTATTTAGTGATTTTACTAGCAGTACATCGCGCTACGAGACGATCAATGAGGCGTTTAATATTTTGTGTTCCACAATGTCTTTTGAGATATTTTTGGCATCCTAGGGTTTTCAGTAAAACCATCACTTATTATGCTAGTAGTTTTCTTTATATAAACTGTGGGGGTTAATATCTTGATAACTGTATTATTATTATTGTATATATGAACTTGGTCCACTCATCTTTGTTTTGTGCCCCCATTCAGGTCTTAGAAACGAGGACTACAACACGACGTACGAGGCATTCCCCTACTAGTAACCATCTATCACTCATTTGTGTGATATTTTGTAATGATCTTTCCTTTTGTGATCTTAAATTTGAACGTATTCTATGCACTTTAGACATTTCCTTAAACTTTGTTTATTACCTTTAGATTCTAATGATCATTCATGTGTATTTTCCTCCTAATCATTATTCTTGTGTTCAATAAATGGCTTTCGTCACCCTTAGGTGTCGGCATGCACGTGCCTATCTGGGTATTCGGGAAATATCGGGGTCGGAACGTGTCACTCTAGAACCCAAAGATCGAGACGTGTTCCTTCCTTGGTTGTAATGGCGAGATTCAGAAGTCAGTAATGCACCCAACGCAACATTAACAAATTTTACTCACCGGCCGAGCTCGGCCGAAGAGTTGGCACACCCCGCATACAACCGAATGACGTAGTTAGCTCATTAGTTACTTAGCCTGTGCGCCACGTAAGCTTTGGTAGTTTTTAGGGTCAACAACACTCAAAGCCCTCTCGTGTGCAGTTGATGGAAGTGGTACTAAAATTGAAGCAAAATTGACTATTCTTCAATATGGGGATATCAGGTTTCAAGGGGAAGTCATGAGGAAAACCCCTTATGTTCCGAAAGCGTGTAATAAGAATCTGAACCAGGCTATCTTCTGTGAAAAGGAAGCAATGCCTGTTGTCTGTGGCGTCAAAGCCATTTGGGTCCAGTTGGAGAACAATTAAACGCTAGCCTAGTGGAGGGTTTATCAAGTATTGTAGGGTTCCAAGATGTATGATTCGGAAAATTGAGGGAATGCATAAGAGTTATGAGTTGACTAAAGTATGGCAGATCCAAAACTTGTCACTAAGAATATTGCTTGTGTTTTCATATGGGAACTCACTTGTCCCCCACTTATGATTAATGTATTTTCATCATACGAACTTCCTAATCATAACAGTTCATACATCATCATCATAATTAGCCTTAATTAACCGTAATTAATCATACTTTTATTTTCCAGGTAAAACCTACAAATGTAATGACCTTAATTAATTTTACTTTACACTTCTCCAACCTCTAGATATTCTGACTTTTCCAATTCCTCAACAACAACAACAACAAAGCCTTTTCCCACTAAGTGGGGTCGGCTATATGAATCCTAGAACGCCATTGCGCTCGGTTTTGTGTCATGTCCTCCGTTAGATCCAAGTACTCTAAGTCTTTTCTTAGAGTCTCTTCCAAAGTTTTCCTAGGTCTTCCTCTACCCCTTCGGCCCTGAACCTCTGTCCCGTAGTCACATCTTCGAACCGGAGCGTCATTCGGCCTTCTTTACACATGTCCAAATCACCGGAGCCGATTTTCTCTCATCTTTCCTACAATTTCGGCTACTCCTACTTTACCTCGGATATCCTCATTCCCAATCTTATCCTTTCTCGTGTGCCCACACATCCCACGAAGCATCCTCATCTCCGCTACACCCATTTTGTGTACGTGCTGATGCTTCACCGCCCAACATTCTGTGCCATACAACATCGCTGGCCTTATTGCCGTCCTATAAAATTTTCCCTTGAGCTTCAGTGGCCTACGACGGTCACACAACACGCCGGATGCATTCTTACACTTCATCCATCCCGCTCGTATTCTATGGTTGAGATCTCCATCTAATTCTCCGTTCTCTTGCAAGATAGATCCTAGGTAGCGAAAACGGTCGCTTTTTGTGATCTTCGCTAGATTGCTCCGGTCATTAGTGTGGATAAGTATATAAATGGATAGAGATAGGAAAGCAAACACAAGATGTACGTGGTTCACCCAGATTGGCTACGTCCACGGAATAGAAGAGTTCTCATTAATTGTGAAGGGTTTACACAAGTACATAGGTTCAAGCTCTCCTTTAGTGAGTACAAGTGAATGATTTAGTACAAATGACATTAGGAAATATTGTGGGAGAATGATCTCGTAATCACGAAACTTCTAAGTATCAGAGTGTGGTGTCGTCTTGACTTGCCTTATCTGTCTCATAGGTAGATGTGGCATCTTCTCTGGAAGTACTCTTCCTCCATCCAGGGGTGGTATCTTTAACTGGTGGAGATGCACAAGGTAATGTATCAATTTCACTTGAAGCTTACTTGTAGTTTCAGGCTTGGTCAAGCGCGATACAAACCATGTAGTAGGAGTCCCCCAAGTCGCCGAGCTAGGGGGTCTGCTGAAAGAGGTGACAGACAAGGTAAGCAATCAGAGTTTCGACTGATTGTTCACCTTCTCCCCACCTTGTAGCAGCATGAAGGATAAAGAGAAGAAAAATGAGAAGAGATGATATGAAATACTTTTGCTTTTGAAGAAGTAACTTTCCACAGGCTTATTCTTGAACTGAGCTGGAGGGTTTTCTGGTTTCCTCCAGAGTATAAAGGCCGACTGAAGAATTTGAGGGTCAAAACAAGTCCATCAAATCTAGAGTACGTTCCACCCTGCTGATATGGGATACGTTTGCTTTTGACAGAGTAATGGATGTATCGGCACGTGTGCTGTTACGCTTGTCTCCACATGCTTCCTTGTATCCTTCGCACTTGCCCTATCTGTTCCTCAAGCAGATGCGGAATCTTCCCTGGAAACATAAGGTGTTGAAGATGAGTACTCGAGAGCAATGCCAGGTAAGTAATCAGGTAAGGGGTTCCAGGCAGTCAGTTCCTGGCTGGAAGCTTGATTCCAAGTGCTGACTGATTGCTCTCTTTCTCCTTGTCTTGCAGGTGAAAACAAGGCCAAAGGAAAAGACAGGGAAAAAGCATGATATGGGATACTCTTGCTTTTAACCCTGATGATATGAGACTTTTCCAATTCCTGCAGATGTAAAATTAAAAATAAACTTTCAGAGACTCCTAGTCTCCCACCAAAAGCAACAGCCTGATTGGTGGCTGCAACTATCCACTTCCCACCGAAACCACCAAGCCCCACCTCACCGGCATCCGCATCCACCACCGCCTCTCTATCTATTTTCCCTTTCCCTCTCTCTTCTTTGATTAACCTTCACAAGCTTATTATTCTTCGTACTCTTCTATCAGCCAATCAACCTCCTACGACTCACAAAAAATACTCATTTTTAAGAGAAAAGGGGGAGCTATAGTGGTTTGTGGAGAGAATCATCGTTCTCATCCGTGAGCGGGACTGAGGACAAACGTAATCACGTGCAGAGAGGTTTGTACGCGATCATGTTGTCCATCGTCTTTTCGGATGACGTGGTCTTTGTGACATTAAGAGAGAACAAGTTTCCCATAGTTTGGTTGTCTGCATGAAATACTCGGCCTAGGAGATAATGTTTCGGTCTCGGTCAAGGTATAAAATATCGATAATATCGGAAATATCTGTATTACAAAAACACGGAAATTTCGATGGAAATATTGGGATATTATCGATATCGATAAAAATTGAATAAAAACCACGGAAATTGTAAGAAAAACTTAGAAATTTTTATTGAAACTTTACAGGATTTTTATTTAGTCAATTATCTATTAGTTTATCACAAACAATTAGAAGGAAATGCATTGCATGATAGATATAACTGATTTAAGTTGATTATATAGCGAGCTGGCAAACATTTTGAGTGTAGAAAATATGTAGTAATTAATGAAAGAAGTTTAAACACACCATAATCATTTATATATAATGAATTTGTACAATATTTTACACTTTATACATTGCATGGTAAGATACATGAGTGACTTAGCAAGGTCTAAAATATCGATGATATCGGAAATATCGTAGTCCAAAAACACGGAAATTTCGATGAAAATATCGGGATATTATGGATATTTTAAACCATACCATTAACTGGAATAGTTCATACCCTAAAAAACAAGTGTTTCATGATTCATGACATTATTTGACCCAAAAAAAAAAAAAAGGTATCATGACATTAAAGAAGTGTCGTTAACGTTTAAACAAGCGCCCCTGTTTTTTTTTTTTTCCAAATGTTTTTCTTTAAGGACATAGAAAACGTCATGTATGTCACAACAAGCGTCATTGTTCAAGTACAATGATGGAAAAACTATCAATTGTTTGTGATTTTGTATGGGCCTATAAGTCGTGTTGCTCAAATATACTTTTATGTCTATGTAGAGTGTGAAAATTGTGTATATCATGTTAAGAACTTTGTATGGGCTTATAAGACGTCTCGTTTCATATTTTTAACAACATACCAAAGTTTTTTCTTTATATCATGAGAAAATTGAAAATAAGACAAATTTTGAACCAAAGTCTTATACGATCACCTGTAAACTGTAGTACAACGTTGAGAACACCTGGCTTTCTGTATCGAACTGGATGCTGTTATACGATGAGCTTCTCGTTTGAATGACAAGTTGTCGCCATGCTTGCTTCCTCTTACCCGATGAGCTCTTCAGATGCAGCAATGACCATCTCTAAAAATTGGTTTAACAGTAGTAAGCTTGTTTCTTCAGTTGCTTTCAAATAAACACTCTTGAGGTAACCCGAACTCCCTTTTGACATGAACATGTTGCCTCCACGGGTCATTATGCAACTTGTAATGCAAAACCTGATTAAGATCCATGAGAGCAAGCGGTCAGCGATTCCATCTTGAAAAGTTTCAGAAAAGTAATTCCGTAAACTTTTTATCAACAAACAACAAATGTTGAAGGAGGATGGTTTGAGCATTAAGCATCTCTCTACATGGAATAGTTGGATATTTACCTGTATCAATGTTGCAAGCACATCGTCTTCAATTAGCTGCGAGAATTGAGCTGCCCACTCTCTCATACGACCAAAAACTGTTTTTTGCCTCTCAGCTTCGAGCATAATAGAATCACGATACAGAAACCTCTGCCAAATTTTCTGCACATTAGCCAGCCTGAACTTTATTTCTGTCTCATTAAATGCCTGCAGAATTCAGGATTCCGAAAATCAGTCAGCTTAACGCCTTCAAACTTCCAATCAGAAGCTTCTTTGTATCAATCATAAAAGTAATAACTCACCCGAAGAATATTTATCAAATTTGGAATTTCATCTTCGCGAATCCGGACAGCAAAACTTTCATAGTTGAGCACATTTTCATATGGCAGGAAAATCCCATCCTAAACATGAAGAAACAAAATAGAAGAACGACGAATGTAAGTTAGCATCTAAACACGACAAGGAAAGACAAAAATGCTTAATAACTTGAGAACGTAAATAACAAAAGAGGGTTACGCATCCCATAACACGAGAAGATGCGAACAATCACTGTCTAACAAGCATTTTAAGGTAAGTGATGAACTAACAGAATGTTCCGAGACTCCAATAAGACGGCTAAGAAACGAAATAGAGAATTAACAACCTGAATGACAACGGGAATGCACCCTTGCAAAACACAGTCTTCCATACGACCGCTCCAACCATCTCCAGGAAATACCCCGCAAAAAATAGAACTGGCGATATCCAAGTGATAATTTTCAGTTCTTAGTGGTGTAACAATCACATCTTCTGCATGTTGTTTTCCGAGTTTCCCTTCCTTGTTAGGACTTGACCCAAATTCTTCTGCCAGTTTTTGTCTGATACCCATGCTATAGCTGCATAAATACCCCAAAATCTCATATTAGATCTTCTGTAAGTTGTGCAATATAGTAGCGGTAGTTTCTCAGGAAATTGAAAGTCCAAACTTATAAATCTTCTCCAAATGTATAAGAGAAAATGGAAACAAGTGTCGGCAAGCACATTCTTGACAGTTGACAGGTTGTCCACAGAAAAATTAAATTCAACCCACCCCACAATTAGATAAATAAATGGGAACTTTAAAGAAAAGCACCCGGTACTGTTCACTTTAACGAAAAACCACATTTTTACACTAAAAAGTCAATCCTGACACTATTCACTTTACCCTTTATTTTGTCCTTATCATTAAAACTCAAAGTTTTCAAGCCCTTTTCATTAGTTTTCCTTAAATAAATAGCTTTTTCGTTAACTTACGAAGCTTCTGGCCTTCCATTTGGGTAAGCTGGTCCCAGATTTCCATTGAAGTAGAACAGTGTTTTCCGGTTCTCTCGGGATCTGAAAATAAAGTGTTGAACTGTCTTTGATTAATCATCATGGTTGACTAGATCAACAAAACATGGAAAACAAAGGGGAAGTTCGAAGAATAAAAAATCATGACAATATGAGTATGCTTTCCATCGGATATGCACCTGGACCAAAGTTTTGAGCTTAAGGAGTTGACATCCGGACTTTTCCAAGCAGGAAGTACGAGATCTTTATCAGGATCAAAGCAGGGATGGTTACCCCTTTTATCAGAAGAAATATCATTCCAGTTGTCCGCCCAATAAGCCGTCGTTGAATGCTTGTGCTTCGAGTTTGTGTTTCCCCAGTGAACCAACATCATACTGCTCCATATCTCCTTGGGAGCATAGCATGCACCTTCATCCCATGAAAAAAACTGCCTTCAGATATGGAGACAACATCATCAGCATGTACACTTTACAAAATGATCTAAACTATGAGAAGATGGAAAAATCTCATTCTGTTCAATTTTTCTCACACTGGCCTTAAGTAATTCTCTCAGTTACATCATACCCAAATATGGTCTCTTCCAGATGAGCGGTTCCAGAAGGGATACTGTTCAACGATGTGATCGTAAGCCTTCCTATAATATTCCAGAGTGAGAGAGCTCCTCAAGCCCTTGTGTTCCTAAAAGTTTCAGTAAGCACATTACAACAAGAGCCAAATCCGGAAACATTGACTTGGCAAACCCGGAAGTGAAATTGCAATTTCACCAATATATTAATAGTTAGATAAAGCATACCTGAATACTCAAATGAGGAGCATCGTTAGCACGAGTTATAATGCATGAATCAAGAACAGGAACAAAGAAGAAATCTGCTTCTTCACCATTTAAGGTACGATACGGACTAGCTAAGATACTTTCATAAAGTGCCATCTGCAAACAAGCAACAAGACTGATGAATAATCGTAAACATGCTTCGAATTTACAAGTCCACTACCAGTTTCAGTTCAAGTAATACCTGGGCACCATACAGCTGATCTGTCCACAATGTTGAATTTCGGTCATCATAGATTCTGTTTACACACTCTAACCTAAAGTGACGCCCCTACACCGGAAATCGAGAAAAATAAGAAACTTGCTTTGAGGATGAATCAAACAATCATAGTTTAAGCTAATTCTGACCTCAAGAAGTAGGCTGTTGAAATCTGGAGGCAAATCATAAACATATATAAGGGGCCTTTTCTTTTTCACCACAGCATTGAGGTTGTCAACTTTCCCTGGGAGATGCGAACTATCAGGAACATCAACCTGAGCAGGCCGAAGCCATTGAGGCCACTCTCTAACTGATGATGCAACGGATGGAATGCTGCAATCAATTCCGTACCATCCATTGTTACACTGGAAGGTACACTCGGTTAAGTCAGTACATATTGACAAAAGAGCAAATATTATGACACAGTACACATCTATTGATTAATTACAAGGAATTTGCAAGGAAAAAATGAAAAGTTTTGGTGTCACCAAAATACGTCAACTGGTTTCTTTTTTGAGTGCCTGCGCAACTTACAAACATGCACCCTCCCCCGCTTCTTGTACATCAAGCTTATAGCCTACAGTTTGGTTCCATATGCTGGTAGCATCTTAACCCTAAAGTTGTTGTTCCTCATTGTCCACAACTACGTGTATATGATTACAAGAAGGCTAGCAACAATTTTCCCCCTTTCAAACAAACAACACTTAGCATTCATGCGTAAGCAACCAATTGTTACCTGACAAAATCCACCACGGCAATGCCCACGACCAGAGCATTGATTAATACAAGTACATACTGTAGGCACTTCACAGAACCGTCCCCCGAAACCATCATATTTACAATCACATTCCTCTTTGAATTTCACCTTAAGAGCATACGCTTCAGCAGGGTCCACATTACACCATCCTGGTTTGCTACTATTTGTTGTGAAAACGTTATCCAGGTCGGCTTCTGCCCAAGCAGTCAGTTTCGGTGCACCAGGTTCAGAAGGTAACCTGAAACAGATGTCAGGGATTAGCGGCATGTACAGTTTTTAGTAATTTATTTATACTGACGGAAGCCTAGTTTAGATCTGATAAACTTACTTCACTTGAAAGCCACATGACTCTGCCATAGGTCGATTTGGATATTTAGTGCTCTCCCCACAGAAGCACATTGCCTTTGTTGTGTCACAATGTGCGGAGCAAATTGAGACAACCCATCTCCCATATGGTAGATCTGGTGTCGCTGGGTAGTTGCATTCCAGCTGCTGTCTCTCAGAGCATCCTTCCCCTGAAAAATTAGTTCATGTTATAATCTCAGAGCAACAAGTTCTGTATTTCCCGCAACATAACAGACTGTTTAGAAAGAGAAAACCAGAATCTTTGTTCACTAATCCTTCTTTTTTTTGCTTTTAATCTTGGCGGGCAGGGAGTCAAAATTCTCAACTAGAATAAGGGAGACGATTGGGAGAACTCTTTGAAAGTGATACAGTGACAAGGTTTTTTCGTTTGTAGTGATGCCACAAGTAAAGATATCAAATGTTCCGAAATACACCTAAAGTTGGTTCTACAGAACATTTGTGCAAGTGTTGTCCATAGAATCTCTTTAAAAGATTCACGAATGCATGACATGCATGTCTCGGTTTAATTTCAAAAATTAGAATTCTTCCATCTCACTGAGCAATGATTGCGAAATATTTGTCATTAAGAATTATTCCTTATGTTTTCTACTACTCACTGACAAGTTTGTATTTGATCAGGTTAAAGGAAAGAAAGAAGAAGAAATTACACTGACCACTGTATCCATGAAAGCACCGACATTCTCCCAATTCGTGGTTACAGACGCCTTGACCGCTGCAGTCATTTTTGCACCGACTACCACCTATAATCTGCCAATGTAATTAGTTAAAGTTATAAACAGATGAATACTCTTCCAATAAAAATTGGTACCAACCTCAACCCTGTAATTTCTGAAGGGATTATAACTAACAAAGGAAAAAGCATTTGCGTGGTGATCAATTTTTACATCTGGTTACATATAATGACTTGTGCAACGCACACCCACCCCTCTCTTCCATCCTCTATATACCAGAATACTCCCATGGCGTTTCTCACCAATATATTCACGCATTTAGAATAAAACAGAAATGTAATGTACGAAGTTGTTCTTATTACCTCAACAATATCAACTTCATTAGAAATTGAATGACAACCAGCAAGCCACCGGCCAATCTCAGCCTTCCATGGTGCACCACGAAAAACAACTGCCTTGTGTAGGTCAGATGGAAACTGACGATCCAAGTCCATAGGTGATTTTGAATTTCCTTTTACATGATCCGTAATTGAATCAGCCGATCCATTAATTGGGACACAAGAGTTCTGAGCTTGACTGAAGTAAGCAAAAGAAGGGACCAGCGGAAACCAGAACAGATGAACAATTGGAACCAATACAATCGATACCAATGCCACAACAGAAGTAACTGTTGCTATCTGAGACCTTGGGCATTTCCACTTTTGAATGCAAAGCATTATCTTAGAAGACTCTTCTGCTATATCTCCATACTTTTGACCTTCAAGCACCTAAGAAACTAACACAAATACAAATAAGAATCTATAGATATAAGAATCCCTAGATATGAAAAACATCAAAAACCTTTTTCCTTTCTTTTCAAATTCTCTTCTTGACAATTGAACTTTTCAAATCGATCGTGTTAACCCAATTTTTGCAAGAAATTCATGGCGTATTGCATTAAACAAATCACAGCAAAGAAAGTAACAAGTCAACCATTCCAAATTCCATCACAGAAATGTAAAAGTCAACCATTACAAATCTTCCATAAGAAATAGAACTTCTCCATTAATCAAACTGTTAACTAATTACTTTTTGTATCCAAGAAACTATAAAAAGTGAGTAATTACGAATGAGTTTTAGTAGATTAGCAATCACGGTGAGCATTGACTGACCTCTTCTCAGATCTACGGTGGAAATTCTGCAAAAACAGAACCTGATGAGCTCAAAGAAATATTTCAATGGAGGGTTCAGATTCAATTCAACGGAGAGAGGGGGGATAGAGGAATCGTTCTTCGCTTCTGGGTTTCCGGCTAAATCTGCAATATAAAAATCTGAATTCCCCACTATTTTTATAAGATTTAGACAGAATTATATACATATATATATATATATATATCGGCAGACAGACAAGAGAGCGAGTGGTCCGGCAATACAAAAGCCACCACCAAGGTTTCTGGCAGACAAGTTTGAACAAAAGAAAACAGAACACGATCTGGCACGGTTCAGTTAAATTGACTGCAATTGCCCTTTTCAGTTGATTTTTGTAGGGTGAGACCGTTGGATTTCCCATGGGTATTTCTGTCAATCTACTTGTTTGTGTCTTTCTCCGGTTAAGTACTCGTTTGTGTCTGTCTTTTTCCTTTTAAATTTTGTTTCTTTTTTCCTGAAAATAATTAATACCAAAATTAGCATTTCTATTTTCTTTTGTTTGATTTTGTAATAATTTTTGGTGCAGAAAAAAAATGACAAAGTACAGTGACAAGCTCTCGAATGTAGAAAGGGGGCCAAAAGAGGCGACGTAGATTCTCTCCAAATCTTACTATCTAGAGTCTAATGAGCAGGTAATTCGGACCATTCAAATTGAGGACGGCCCTTATTCACTTATTTTGTTGGCCCATCTCACAAAAACCAAGGGTTCGGATATTTTTTTTTTCTCTCTTGAATTCTAGTCCTTAAGCTCTGAATTGAGAAGTCCAAAGATGATTAAATTTCAAAAGAGGGAATGGGTGTGGACTAAAAGCTGCAAAAATATGTTAACATAAAATAATTGTTTTGGTACCACTAGAAATAGTTGAACCCAAAATTTAATGTAATCTTATTACGTGCTTTAACTTCTGCCTAAATTTGGAAAAAAATTGGTGTGACGTTTGTATCGATACAAATATATTATTTGATATATGAGCAATAATGTTTTATAAAGAAACAGTTTCAAACGGGTCCTAAGTTCCTAACACATCATGAGATTTTAATTTACTTCTATAGATCATCTATTGTGAACAAATTTACCTTTGTGGTTAATTAAATAAAAAATTAAAGAGATAATTCGATGTAAGACCGTTTACGTACTCAATTATTAGGTTTAATCCTGTAGATTATTTTTTATTAACTGAGGTCCACTGACTTTTGTTCCAACTAAGCAACTTTCTTTTTGTGACGACGAGTCATCCTATTTTTAAACTTGTACGTTTCAATACTTATTAAACCTACAACAATTGCTTGTTCACTAAGAATTCGAATTGGTTTGCTGTGCTGCCTGACAACCGAACCGATTCCTAAACGAAATTTTATATGCATTCTGTTCTCCGCAGACATCAAAGGCCCCATTGCGTCCGTCTAATAACCCCTAGAAGCCTTCTGGATTCAATCTATGCTGAGCCAATTTCAACGGCTTCAATCTAAACCGAGAGTGTCAATGTCGAAGATGTTAGCGAAAACTAGATATCTGTATCCCTTGACGCAAAAGGTGATGGCAAGGACTCAGAAGCTTTGTTTACAAAACCTCCCTCTCAAAAGATAAAAACTAATTGCCTGTATGTTATATCATCTCACACCATTTATGTATTTGTCTGCAGTGACAAATCTGAATTGATATTCCAAATCCATTTGCTTACTCATCCTGTTCCCTCTCGATTGGTTTGCTGAGGCGGGGCCATCTTCTACAACGTTTTTCTGCCACAACGGTTTACATGCTTGCAAGTGTTAGATCATACTGTGCATTTTATCAGGTACAAATCAAGACATTCCCCTCTCCGAAGTCGGAATCTTGTCATTATGTTCATGGAGGGATGGTCCTAAAATCTCATCTGTTTTCAGTATTCGTATTGCAGGAGGAGAACATGTCACCCCATGAAATAGAGGCTGCAACCCACATCGGCTCAAGGCATCCTGACCGGCCTATCAAACCAATGCGGAAAACTAGTAACTAGGTTTCCAATATTCCAGATCTGTTAGCTGCTGCCTTTTTAAACCATATGATTGCGCTGTCTCATACCTTATGCTTCCTTGTTGTGCAAGAAAGTTAAACCGGCTAATACGAAATTATTGATTAGTTAACGATGATTTGCTATATAGTTGTATCTACTAATGCAATTTGCATTTCGAACTAAATAGTAAATTATATATTTTTATATGAATAATTGCTTAGAGTTTCGCTTCCTTAACAAGTAGAGGCATCCTTTCTCTAACGCTTTCCTTCTTCAAACTACCTCCCTCTCTTCGACCTTTTCTCGAACCCCTTCGTGCCAATTTCTTCAATTCAGTACAAAATTCTGTGATTTGATTCAAGATTTCGCGCCCGCCAAGCAAATTACTCGCGGAGAATGTAGTCTTTAGCCGCGGCTTCCTCCCATTTTTTGATGAATCTTGAAATGACGACTCATCAACTTGTTTCTTCTTCTCACTGCTTGGATTCACTGCAGCTTTCTTTGATTTGGTTTTGCAACGCGGAATCGAAGCTGGGATATTGGGATTCTTGTTCTCACTTTCTTCATGGACATTGCTAAAAGAATTCGAATTTTCGTTCTTCATATTTGGTAAATTTGTCCGTTTTGCTTTCATATCCCTGGTAAGAGAGATATAGAAATACAACACTTGACATTGGCAACAGTAAAAGAAAGCGTAACGCCGGTCGCCACATTTGTAAACGAATGTTAATTACTGAATTTATCTCATGTGATGTTGGTTCAATATCACTCTAATTTCTTCCCTAAAACTTTCTCAGAAACCAAACAGATCTGATGAGTAAGTGATTATACCTTCGATTCCTTTCCCTAAAAGGAAGGATTTCAGAAATGGTTAAAGATCTCATAAGCTTCACCTGGATGAAAAAAATATTGGACCAATTAGCAAACTTTTCACAAGTCGATTATTACATAAACATCCCAATTAAGACTTTATTTGTTGCTGTATCAGTGAAAAGGAAATTCTTATCAGTTACAACCTTCAGATTACGTGCCGGTTTAACAAAATCTTCAGCAGCCTTCGAATGCTTGCAATCTGCAACTCACAAGGTGAACATTGGTTCATGAAACAGACAACATCGAGTGTCAATTTTTTTTTGTCACACTTAGAAACTAAACAGATTTTTGAGAAATTGGGTCCTACCAGGAGTGCAGAACCAGTCTTGATCATCATCCATGAGCTCATCTGGGGAAGAGAGGTCGACCCACTTAGGCGCTTCGAAGTTCTCGTAAGTTTCATCTTCGACGAACACGGATTCTATGCTGCTCCAGTCAATGTTCTCCGGTTCCATTTTCTCTTGAGGATCCTACAAAAAATTTAAAGAATAAGAAAGAAAGAATGATTAGAAATGGATTATGCTAAGAACGAATCGAACAGGGTTTGCAAGGAGAAATGTAAAATTAAAGAAAATTGAGTAAAATTTTGATCAGATTCTGAGAAATTCTGTGGAGATTTGTGAACGGAAGGGTGAAAAAGTAAGAGACTGAGGCAGGGGAAAAGCAGTAGGGGTTTAAGGAGCTACAGGGATTTGTAACGCCAGAAAACAAAGGTAGCAATTAGATTTTTAAATCGTTTTTCGACCGTTGGAGGTGCGACTTTTTTTTTCTTCCGCTCCTTTTGGACTTTTCTTTTTGGATTATCATTCTTGTGATAACTTTTAACATGGGCCGGCCCATCAGTCAGATATCTCCACTTCTGGAATTAGTCGGTCTGGCCCATTAAAACCGGGTTAGGCTATTCTGATCCAAACTAGGATCAACTAAGAGTTAGATTGCAACTTGAACATTTAACAGTTAAAAGGGAGATATTTTCACACACATTTTTTAGCTTCTCACATTCTTATTCTATTTCTAACCGTTAGATTGAATAGATTACACAAAAATAGAGGACAAGATTAAATAGGGGTTCGTCAAAAATTAAAAAATATGTGTGTTAATCATTTCCCACTTTAAAATTGATGCTATAAGGGTTAGGATTCGAATGAATTGTTTTGGTCTTTTAACATTTGGACCTACTCGCTACTTAGTTCTAGAGTTTAGTGGTATTTCTCTTCACTTGTAAGTAAGAAACCTTACGTTCGATTATCGCCAAAAGCGAATTTGAACCACACTATTGCTAGCCCATTTTGAGGCTTAACCCACTCTCCCACCCCTTACTGTAGATAATATTGTTTGTTAAAAAAAAACATATAGACCTACTCTTAATTAAATGTTATTACAACGAAGCCTCTTTTACTGCATTTAGGCCACGTTTGTTGATGAAAAATTGTTTCACTTTAAAGTTAAGCAATAAAAAAATTAATCAATAAAAAGTGTGTTAATAATTAAGAATCTTGTATATTTAAAAGTTATGGTTGCGGACAACAACTTTTAAAAGCAGCAAGTATGTTGCTTATGAAAACTACTTTTAATAAAAAGGAAAACTAATGAAAATGGCTTGAAAACTTTGAGTTTTAACGATAAGGACAAAATAAAGGGTAAAGTGAATAGTACCATAATTGACTTTTTAGTGTAAAAATGTAGTTTTTCGTTAAAGTGAACAGTACATCGAGCTTTTCGTTAAAATTCCCTTTATAAAAAGAGAGCTGAACCCTAATGAATATTTTTATTTTTTTAAATACCTACATTAGTTCAAAAAAAAAGAGACATTGTTTATCCTTATACGCACACATTTTTTTCCTTATAAGTGAACGCCACCACCTACCCCTACAACCACCATCATTACACCACCATTGCCATGACACCACCAATGTTGCCATTGCCGCCACCATAACTGCCTCTGCCACCACTGCCCCTACTAACATCTATACTCCCACCATTAGTAAATTATATATTTTTATATGAATAATTGCTTAGAGTTTCGCTTCTTTAACAAACAGAGGCATCCTCTCTCTAATGCTTTTCTTCTTCAAACTACCTCCCTCTTTTCCACCTTTTCTCAAACCCCTTCGTGCCAATTTCTTCAATTCGGTACAAAATTATGTGATTTGATTTAAGATTTCGCGTCAGCCAAGCAAATTACTCGTGGAGAATGTAGTTTTTAGTTGCGGCTTCTTGCCATTTTTTTATGAATCTTGAAATGACGACTCATCAACTTGTTTCTTCTTCTCATTGCTTGGATTCACTACAGCTTTCTTTGATTTGGTTTTGCAACGCGGAATCGAAGCTGGGATATTGGGATTCTTGTTCTCACTTTCTTCATGGACATTGCTAAAAGAATTCGACCAAACCCAACCCGTTACTGTTTTTTTTTTTTTTTTTTTTTGGGTTTTTTTTTACACATTTCATCCAAATCAATGCAAAAAAGCAGCATCCTTATGCAAAAAAGCAGCATAGGATGCAATGCAAGTCATGAGCCAACATGGAATGGCATATTACATATACAGCCAACAGACTTCAAAGATTTCAAACAGGAAAAATGACAACCTTTTTTCCTCTCTTTTTCTGTGTGGGCCAAAACCTCAAGCAATTTCCATTTTTTTCTTCATTTTTCATTTTTTTTTTCCATTTTTTCCCTTCCCTTTTCTTCTTGCTTTTTTAGCTTTATGCAAACGAAACTTCATCAAACGTAAAACAAAACAAACCAATTCAACTCGGGGACTAGGGTTGGCAAGGAATTAACAGTGATTAAGGGCAGTAAAGGTTCTGGTGGGTGTGGTAGCGATTTAGGTTGTGGGTCAGGTACGGGTCACTGCGAGGGCGTGTGGAGGTTGATTAGGTGGCTTGGCGGCATGGATGGATTCAGACGGCAAATGTGTTGGGTTTTTGGTTGCAGCGACAACATGCAGATGGGAATCTAGTTTCTAGTTAATGGTCTAGTGCGAGATGGTGGTGGTGCACATCAGGTTTGGTATGGTCGAGAGCAGTGGGCAAACAGGATCTTGGGTCTGGATGTGGACAACGGCAGCTAGTTCATGTGGATTCCGGCAAGAGGCAAGGTGATTCAAGCAAAGTGTTGTAGGCTACTAGCAACTAGCGAGAGAGCTAGGAACCTGAGGGTTTTGAAAACTATTGAAATTACACAAAATTCCTTACTAACAGGTGGTTAACGGGTTTCGTGGGTTCACCATAACTGACCCGTTATTTAACGGGTGATTAACGGATTGACCCGTTAACCACCCAACCCGTTTATCACCCACCTGAATACTAATTTTAACGGGTTGGGTCAGGTCGGGTTAAAGGGTTGGGTTGAAAATGCCAGGCCTAGACGTGGCGCCTATGTGGACAATGATTGGGCACCACGTGTCATTAAGGGGTCCACGTGGAATTTTTTTTTAGAAGGGGTTCAAAAAAATTTTCAAAATTTCAAAAAAAAAAAAAAAAACCTTGTCTTCTACCTCCCCCAACCCCCCGCACCCTCTCCATCTCTTATCCCCCCGCACCCTCTGCAACCCTCACCTATCCTCCATCCATTCTCTCCTATGCAACCCTCATCTCCTCTGATCCATAGCCTGCCTTAGCTTCCCCTAAATTGTAAAACGTATGCAGCCCAGTCCCCACATCGGCCTAGTTCAAACCCTTCATCATTCTCTCCTCCGTACGCAACTTGTCTTCTGTCTCTTTGACCCACTCGAGTTCGGAATTGACCACATCAATGTCGGCGAGGTCATATTCGTTATAGAGAGCTATGATCTCGCAATGGAGCTGAACGGCCTTAGTGAGATCAAGGCGCTCTTGATTGTCGGAGGCGAGGGTTCTGAGCTTACTGGAAAGGCGGATGGCTCTGATAGAGCGGTGGAGAAGATCAGAGAAGGCATAGAGATTTTGGAGCTGATGGAGTGGTGGAGAAGATCCAGGCGCTAGCTAGATTTGACATCAAGGTCACCGTCGACATCCCCAACGAGATCCTCTCCTTCGCCGCCAAGTCTCAGTTTTTCGCTACCAACTAGGTCTAGTGAAACATCGTCGCTTACCACCCCAACACCTAGATTGAAGCTTTCGGCGTCATCAATGAGGTTTTCGTTGACACCCACAACACCACCAAGTTCCTCATCCGCCGAGTATTGACCGGCGGGTTCTCTCCTCCGTACGTAACTTGTCTTCTATCTTTTTGACCCACTTGAGTTCGGAATTGACCACATCAATACTGGCGAGGTCGTATTCGTTGTAGAGAGCTATGATCTCACAATGGAGCTGAGCGGCCTTGGTGAGATCAAGGCGCTTGGGATCATCGGAGACGAGAGATCTGAGCTTATTGGAAAGGCGGAAGGCTTTGATGGAGTGGTGGAAAAGATCAGATGAGGCATAGAGATTTTAGAGCTAATGGAATGGTGGAGAAGATCCGGGCCCTAGCTGGATTCGACATCAAGGTCACTGCCAACATCCCCAACAAGATCCTATCATCCGCCGCCAAGTGTCAGTCTTTTGCTACCAACTAGGTCCAGTGAAACGTCATCGCTTACCACTCTAACACCTAGATTGAAGCTATCGGCGTCATCAATGAGGTTTTCGTTGACACCCACAACACCACCAAGTTCCTCATCCACCGGGTATTAACCGGCGAGGGAACCCCCTTGAGGCCCAAAGCATATTTGGTGCGGTTTTGTCACATCCCGGCCCAGGGCGGATCATTTCCTGGGCCTGCTCCACCACCGTAGCACGATATTGTCCGTTTTGGGCCTCGATCACACCCTCACGGTTTTGTTTCTAGGAACCTAGAAGCAACTTTCCAGTGGGTCACCCATCATAGGAGTGTTCTGGCCTCCTTCTCGCTTAACTTCGGAGTTCCGACGGAACCCGAAGCCAGTGAGCTCCTAAAAGGCCTCATGCTAGGTAGGAATGAGAATATACATATAAGGATCACTCCCTAGGCGATGTGGGATGTTACAGGTTTGCAGAGGTGAAAATGGATGGTCTTACGTGTTGCAAAGATAATGGAGGGATAAGGGGGAATGAGGAGAGAATAGAGGGTGGTGCAGGTTGTAGAAGAGAGAATGGATGGAAGGGGTGCGAGTTGCAGAAGAGAGAAGGGAGGGAAAGAGTGTGGGGGGTTGGGTTTTTTTTTTTTGAACCCCTTCTCAAAAAAAAAAAAAAATTCCACGTGGACCCCTTAATGACATGTGACGCTCGATCATTGTCCACATAGGTGCCACGTCATTAGTTAATGACAGACTTAAGAGTTTGACTAACAGATGTATGAGACTGTCCCAAAATTAACACTTTAGATATGACTCTGGGATGAAAAAAAACTTGATGTACTAAATGTTGAAAACCACGAAACATGAATGTAGTAAATTGAGATTTACCCTGTATTTAACATGTTGTAAAGACATAATTTTGTTATGACACAACTTAATGCATTGTACAATTTTTATAAATTATCGTATTGTTTGTCAAAAAATTAATTGCACGAGCATCTCCCAACCAGTCAAAGAGCCAACAAGATTCTCTCCAGATCCTATTGATCTGTAAATCATGTTTGTTCATCGAACATCGTGCAGTCAGCTTTTATCAGATATTGTTTGTGTTTAATTTTAAATAAAAATATTTAAAATGATTTTTGATCTCACGATGTACGATGAACGAATATAATTCACAAATTCTCATAATCTTCGTAAAGATAATCAGTCAAGAATCGGAATTCGTCAAAGAAAGTGTGAAAGGATTAGAGCGTTGGGATTTGTGCTAGTAATTGTGACAGGTGACTGAAACTTTACTCTACGTGCAATTAGGCAAAAAATAGTTGGGCAGCACCAGCCAATAGGACAGACAGCGAAGAAATGCACCAATTTTGTGTTCCATCTCGTAAAAATTATTTAATAAAACAGTTGAAAGTTGAAAGTAAGGTCAGAGACGAATAAATATTTAATGTAATTATTACAACACTATCTAATCATTGAGGCAACACATGCTGTGCACGTGACTTTCCAAGTCCTGCACTGCAGTCTGCAGTTGAAGTCTAGAACATGAATTCTCTTGATATTTTCAGATTGACATAATTAATTTTGTCTTCAAGATGCTCTTCATCAGTCGGTTTAGCTGCATTTAGTCTTTATTTAATTGAAGGCCATTTCAAGTTGATTTACACTAATGCGTGAATTATATGTTAGTAGTGAATTTTATACTAATTTATGAAATTGCTGTTTGAATTATCTCAAATTTGTCATATTATGACTTGCTGCGAGTGAATTAACGCCTCATTTTAAATATCCTATTGTTCACTTCAAAAAATATATCCTGTCGTTTAGAGAAAAAAAAATTATCTGCAAAATCAAAGGGCAATGGGTTATGTTCTCATATTAAACAAATAGCAACCATGTTACCAAATAGTTTTTAAACAGAAAGTAAACATCATCAATCTTGAAATTAAAAAGCTGATGTTTAAGATAAGTAATGGTAATTATTTTTTTGTTCATCAGATTTCTACTTTATTATGTTTAAGATAAGATCGATCGGAAACCAAATTGTTAAATCACTTTCATTTTACTAGAGAAGTGTTTGAACTCTTTATTCTCTTGAAAACAAAAAAAACACTAGAATCTAAAACAAGAATTCGGCTATTAATAATGCGTGTGCGACTCTCTGTCATTGATTCGACGTAAACAAAGCTTACATGCACTAACTACTGAATCACTTACAAAAAAACACTTTATATGCATCAACATATGTCATAAAACAATCACTCTCGGACGTCGACAAGTAAACCAAGCACCTCTCTTACGAATTAATATCCCTAACACTATTTCGGAGTTCAACTTATTTGGTGACAAGGCAAATAGATGTGGGCCATTGGACCCACCATCCCCATCAACATTAAGATTGAAGCCGACGTGAACCAACCGTGTGATGCCGACAAGAGGATGCGGTTTGTGATCAGGCCAAGGAAAGGAAGTCAGCAAAATTAATTAATATTTACAGTTTTCTGTCGAATCCAGAAAAACCCATTTCTCACACAATGTCCCCATTCCCTTGAATTGTAAATCATCAACGGCTCTCTCTCTCTCTCTGTCTCTCTCTCGCTCTCGCTCGCGCATTTTCACAAACACGTTGCGCGGTCACAGCCAGTGCCTGAGTTCGTTCCAGAGATACTGCCGCGTAGGCTCGCTCGCGCGTCCAATTCGTTTGAAGTCCTGATTTAATTCAACTTTGATTTGAAAATTTTCGTTTCGTTTGCTCTGGGGCACTTGGAAGTTTTGAAATTTGTGGAGAAATCGATTCGTTTCTCTCTGTGGGGTTTTGGGCGCCATGGCGATTGCAGCTGCAGCAGTCATCGTTCCACTGGGCCTGCTCTTCTTTGTATCAGGCCTCGTAGTCAATCTCATTCAGGTGCACCTGGCCTCTTTCCATTCATGGGTTCTGGATTTTATTTGCTTATTGCCTAGATTTGGTTTTGTTTTAGCTCAGTTTTGTGTCTTCTGCCATCGATTTCTTCAATTTCTGCGTGAATTCCACGAGGGTTTTGCTTCTTTTCGTTTAAGTTTCATGGGTTTGTTGTTTCTCAAGTAGGTTGTTTGGGTAGGGTATGCCTATATGCTTGCCTGTGAACATAGGTTTTCTTTCGACTTTGTACTGTGACCTGCAAGCTTCGTTTGTTTGTGGAGAACGTTTCGGAAAAGAAACGAAGCTTTCAAACGTTTATGTTAATCTTACATGCTACCAAACCCATTGAGCTCATTTCGTTTACTCAGAAACTGAGTTCCAAATTGAGATTTTGGAGTTTACTTTTGTTATCTCTTTCTGTTCTATTAGCACATCAATTGTACGTGTACATTTGTGCACGTGTGTGTGTGTCCATTCTTTTAGTCGATTTAGCCTAATTGGTCTGTTGTTTCAGGCGATTTGCTTCATTCTTATTCGGCCGCTGTCTAAGAATACATACAGAAAGATCAACAGAGTGGTGGCAGAATTGTTGTGGCTCGAACTCGTGTGGCTCATTGATTGGTGGGCGGGTGTCAAGGTACTAGTTATATCCCCCATATCTTGTGATTGTGAATATTTTGATTTCTCTAACTTCCTTAAATGCAGTTGATTTATTGTACGCTGAGCACTTTTAGGTGTATTCCCACTTAATATGCCAGCTTCTAACTATGTATTTTTTCAACCAAATATTTTTCCCTACAACCCTTATGGACCAATGGTCAAAGTTATTGCTGGGTTTTGAAAGATTCACGGCAATTATTGTTACCACAAGAAAGACTAGAAGGTGTAATTCTGAAGGAGAAAAGTAAAACATGTTATCAAATTTTCTTCTGATAAGCTTGTATTATAAACCCCTGAAATGCGTAGCAATTGCTAAAGGAAGGCTTAGTACTTTAAATCATAGTAATAAAGTGAAGGACAATGCTTATGACCTGGTGTAATATTTACTTTTAAGTGTCTTGAGATGAAAATTTGAGTCATGATTAGTTAACCCTTTTTGTTGCAGATCCAAGTGTACACAGACCCTGAAACCTTTCGTTTAATGGGTAAGGATTAAACCTTCTCTTTTGTTTGAAGTTTCTTTGTCATTAGGACTATGTATGTATTGCTCTTTTCAAAATTATGTAGGATAACTTATTTAAATGCATGTTTTCTATTTTCTAGGTAAAGAACATGCACTTGTCATATGCAATCATAGAAGTGATATTGATTGGCTTGTTGGATGGGTCCTGGCTCAGGTACAAAGTTTATATATCATGCTTTAATCAGATGCATGCACAAATACATTTAACCAGACAAATAATGTTTATATTTATAAAAAATAATGCCCATACTTATTTAGTTTTTGGCTTTTTGAATTACATATACTCATAGAGGCACACAAAAGTTACATTGAAGACTTATTCACATGTACTTGTAAAAGAGGACCACTGTTTCAATTTAGACTTTTGGTTCCATATGGATTTATATTCTCTTTATACTGATGTTTTAAATGAAATTTACTTGTGCAGCGGTCAGGTTGCCTTGGCAGCACCTTAGCTGTAATGAAGAAATCATCAAAGTTCCTTCCGGTATGTTCCACCCTAAGATGCCTTGTCAGTATGTGTAGATGAAGCTATAAGGCACCAGCTGTTAAGTTCATAATATGTGTGTACGTGTACGTGCATCCACATATGCGGGAATATTCTCTTGTCAGAAACTATGGCAATACATTATTGATAGAATGTGAATCAGGACCATTGATTACGTTGATTCTTGCTTGAATGTTTGGCCTAGATCGTAGTTTGCCAACAGAAACATCTTATATTGACTTGCCACTTTGTCTTGACAATAGAATATTCCATATATACAAGGCCCTTGCGTGGAGGAATGCAAAAAGTTGGTTCCCTTGGGGGCCCACTCTGTATGTAGTTCAGTATCTGAACTTTCTATCTTCTATACAATCCATTTAAGAATCATCCTGTAGATCATTGAATGTACAGAAATGGCTGGGGAAACTTAACCTAAGCATTGATCATTAAGGCATCTAATCATGATCAAATAAATAAACCAACACAATGTTTCTGGTAAACCCCAATTGATTGTAAATGATAATCAAGTGGTTAGGTGGTTTTCGATTTGGCTGATTTGACAAGATGATTTTTGAATGGAGACTAAAAACAACAAATGGTTCAGATTCTGGAGCAGCAGCCGCAAGAAAATTGGAGGGCCTTGTATATATACATATCTTTAATCAAATGAGAGTAATTTAGAACCTTAACAGCTTAGTTAAGATTTAAAAATTTAGAGTTTGCGAGTCTGTTAAGGCCATTAGTTATTACTAGTTGAGAGTATAAAAGGTCGTACCCAGTGCACAAGGCTCCCGCTTTACGTAGGGTCTGGGAGAGGTGAATGTCGGCTAGCCTTACCTCCATTTATGGAGAGGCTGCTCCCAAGTCTCCAACCCGAGACCTACCGCTCATGGGCGAAGGCACTTGCCATCGCACCAAGTGCGACCTCTTACTAGTTGGGAGTATCAATATTTAATTTCAGATCCTATTGTAATATTACAGATTTTTTATTTTTATTGTTCTTATTTGATTTAATCCATATTATTCATGAATTCATTGGTGATTTTGGTTTTTCCGCAAACATTATCTTGTGGCCCCATCATACTTAAGCATTACCATTTACCTTGTTCTTGAGGGTTTACTCCTTGTCACCAAATGGAATGCCTTTATACATGCAGGTCATAGGGTGGTCAATGTGGTTTTCTGAGTATCTCTTTTTGGAAAGAAGCTGGGCCAAAGATGAAAACACTTTAAAGGTATGGGTGCATATGTTGTATTTGTACAAACATTATACTCTATATGCACAATATATACAGGCACGCATTAATTTTAACTATAGACTTTTCCTTCTCATGAATCTGTAATGGAGCATCTCTTGTCATACTCTTCTTCAATTTGATAAGAAATCTGGACATAGATATCCAAAATATGTTCATGTATAGAAGTGAGGTTTTGTTGCCAAGCTAAAGAATCAGCAGGTTTTTAATGGTTGCGTAAGTAGTTTGATGGAATTTTTCCACCAAACGCTCATTGAATTCTTTATTCGAGCCTCTAATAAAAAGAGTTTTCACATTTCTTCCAAGAGAGGCTACCAAAAAAAATTCTCGTAGTCATGTAATCAAGGAATGCTTCTGGTTGTTGTCTCTGTAGGGATCAGTAACTTTCAATTCTCAAACATCTCCCCGAAAAGTATAGGTTTTTTCCTTGGGGCTGAAGATGACAATCGTGTTTCCATTTTTCCTCAATAGCTATTTTCCAATTTCTAGTGAACTAATTCTTTATTCTTTTTCAAACAACTCAGTGAGTGTCTACTCATTCTTCCTTAACTCTAGATGAAAGTTGTGCACCTGTAACCATTTTACTTGAAGAAACAAGAGAGATTGGAAGAAATAGGTAGAAGGTGAGCAGTTGCCTATAGTTATTGTGGATATAGATGGTAGAAACTCTGTTAATTAGAAGATGTTTAGATAAAAGAAGATTTGGAGTTGCTATTTCTCCAAGGTACGATGGGGAATAGTATATAATAGGATGGTGGGTGTGACTGAGCAGCATGGGGTTGTCAGAAGGATGCTTTGTGGATGTGCTGTTTAGTCCCTCTGGTGGTGGGTGTGGTTAGAGAGGAACAAGATAATTTTTGCGAGGAGGAAGGGTGCAATCTAGGATAGAATTAGACTACTTGCTTCTCTCTGGGCTTCTTCTGTCAAAGTGTTTAAGAATATTCCTTTTAGTACAATCTGGGATTAGCTACTTGCAACTAAAAGGAATAATCCCAAATAAAGCAGAATTTTCAATAACAGGTTCATTAGAACCTTGCTGTCGCTACTGCACAACATACCTTTAGTACAGCCCAGAATCCATACTACCCGTTGCCCAACTTTAAATAATCTTATCTGGACTCTAGAGTGACAACAAAGAAAACTAATGAAAGAAACAAAATTCTGGAAAAAATTGAGCTCCTTTTATTAGTCAAACTACCCTAATACCCTAATCATGATGGTAAATCAGAATAAAGCTCTTAAGAGTTTGTAAATAAGCTTGAACAAAGATATCCCACTTTATAAAAACAGCAAGATTTTATTGTGGTGAGTTGGTGAATGAGGTGGTGTTGAAAATCCCGCACACTAGACCTTGTTCTTAAATGTAACCAATGGCAATAGACTAAACTAGCAAATATTAGAAAACTTAGAAACACACAAGAATTATACTAGTTCGGCAGAACTTTTGCCTACGTCCACTTGTGATTTCACTAGGTAGAGAAATCACTGCTCCTTTGATTAATAATAGAGATTACAGAACTTTTGCAAACCCTAGAACTAATCTCAAAACTCTTGGCTGTCTGGCTGTTTTCTCTCTCTTAAAAATCAGCCTTGCCGCACCCTATTTATAGACATAGGGTTGGCTTACATGTCCCAAAGCTGATTGAATTCCTATTTCTAAGTGGATTAGGAAATTACACTTATCCAAATCCAAATAGACTTCTAGAAATCCAAACCTAAATTGAATAAGGAAACTGAAATTCTTTCCTAATCCCTCTAGGACAAGAATCGGTATACCTCTAGGTCTCCTAAAACAATCCTAAACCAACTAGACTAGGACATATTCGACGAGCCAAAATCCTAACAATCTCCACCTTGGTGAGTCAAACCAAGTCTTGATCGTTGCACCCTAGAGTATCTTTGAACCTTCTTGAAGCAGCTCTGGAAATCTTCAAGAGTCTTCACCTTGGCAATCTTCTTCTTACCTCATTGCACCTTAAGTGAGGAGGTGCTTCTCCTTAATCAATCAAAGAGATTGATCAAGTTCAAGCAATGCTTGAACTTCTTGGCTGACACTATCTTTGTAAGGAAATATGCGGCATTGTCATCCGTACGAATCTTTTCAATACAAATTTCCTTAGACTCCACCCAATCTCTGATCTGTGTTACCTCGCTTTAATGTGCTTTGATCTTCCAGAAAAAACCTGATTCTTTGCCAAGTGAATGGCACTTTGACTATCACACTTCAACTTCACACAATCTTGAGTGATTCCCATTTGACTTACCAAGCCACTAAGGCAAATTGCTTCCTTTCCAGCTTTGGCCAAAGCAATATATTCTGCCTCTGTGGTCGACAAAGCTGTAATTGGTTGCAGTAGTGCCCTCCAACTGATTGGTCTTCCTGTGCATGTAAACACATAACCAGAAGTTGACCTTCTCTTGTCCAAGTCCCCTGCATAATCTGCATCCACATATCCTAACACCCCTGCACTTTCCTTTTGCCTCTCAAACATAATCCTTTGTCGCCAAGAACCCTTCAAATAACGTAAAATCCACTTTACTGCATCCCAATGTTGCTTTCCTGGATTTGCCATGTATCTGGAAACGACACTGATTGCTTGAGCTATGTCGGGACGTGTGCATACCATTGCATATATGAGGCAGCCCACTGCATTAGCATAAGGCACATTCTTCATTACTTGTTGCTCTTCCTCGGACGTAGGACACTGTTGCCCACTTAACCTGAAGTGAGCTGCCAAAGGAGTCGAAACTACCTTTGCTTCTTGCATGTTGAACTTCTCAAGAAGCTTCTAAATATACTTGGCTTGTGATATCCAGATCCTTCCAGCGGTCCTATCTCTCTGAATTTCCATGCCAAGGATCTTTTGTGCAGCACCTAGTTCCTTCATATCAAACTCCTTGCTTAACATCTTTTTCAAGTCTTGAATTCTAGACTTGTCTTGACAAGCAATTAGCATGTCATCCACATATAGCAATATCAATATGATCATCCCATCTTGGAACACATGATAATACACGCAACAGTCATATAAACATCTTCTAAAATTGATTTTCAGCATGAATGAATCAAACTTCTTGTACCACTGTCTTAGAGACTGGTTGAGGCCATACAGGGACTTCCTTAGCTGACATACTAGGTTCTCTTTCTCATATTCAACAAACCCTTCTGGTTGAGCCATGAAAATCGTCTCCTCTAGATCTCCATGAAGAAATGTTGTCTTCACATCTATCTGCTCAATCTCCATGTCATGTTGAGCTGCCATAGCTAAAAGCAATCTGATAGAAGTATGCTTGACTACAAGTGAAAAGATCTCATCATAATCCACCCCTTCCTTTTGCGAGTACCCCTTAGCCATGAGCCTTGCTTTGAATCTCACGGCATCTTGTTCATGTAGTCCTTCCTTTTTCCTAAATACCCACTTGCATCCAACTAGCTTTCTGTCTTTGGGCTTAGGAACCAACTCCCAAACAAAGTTCTTGTAAAGAGACTCCATTTCTTCTGTCATAGCACTTATCCAACTATCTCGCTCATCACTAGCTATAGCTTCTCGATAAGTAGTCGGATCTCCTTGACTAATGTTAAGAGCATAATTAACTTCGTCTTGGTCAAACCCAAATTTGTCAGGCTTCTTCTTGTTCCGATTAGGTTTGTGTAGTGCTATGCATCTTTGGAATGCAGGTGGATTGTTGGTTGGAATTCGAACCCTTTGGGATGTCTGGCGGATTGGAGTGCCTTCGATCTGCCCTGTTTCTTGCTCCACCTGATTCCTAACTGGTGAACGATGCTGATGCTCTTCTTATTCCTCAAAACCATCAGATTCGGCCTCTTGCTCAATTTGCTCCACCTGAGCTTCTTCTTCATCTAAACTGATTAATGGAATCTTTGTTGCTTCAATTTCAGCATCGTCCGTCTTCTCCCTACTGCACTCGACTTTATTAAGAGGCATGGTTGTCTCATCAAAGACATCTCGATTGACAACCTTTTTCTTGTTGAAATCCCAAAGCTTGAAACCCTCAACTCCTTTATCAAAACCTAAGAATATGCAATGTGCAGACTTCAGTTTGAGCTTGGACCTTTCATCACTTGGAATATGTGCATAAGCACTACAGCCGAACACCCTGAGCTTGGAATAGTCCACCGACTTCTCAAACCATACCTCTTCTGCACTCTTAAAACCGAGAACTGTAGATGGTGACCTGTTAATCAAATAACTTGCATGATTAACAACCTCTGCCCAAAAACTATCAGGCAATCCTGCATGAAATCGCATGCTCCTCTCTCTCTCCATGAGAGTTCGGTTCATCCTCTCAGCAGCTCCATTTTGTTGGGGATTCTTCTTTACTGTGAAGTGCCTTATGATGCCTTCCTGCTTGCAGTAATCGGTGAACTCATTATTTGTATATTCACCTCCATTGTCACTTCTCAGGTACTTGATCTTTCTTCCAGTTTGATTCTCAGTTTCTGTTTTCCATTCCTTGAACTTTGCAAAAACCTCGGATTTCTGCTTCATGAAATAAACCCAAACCTTCCTAGAAAAATCATCCATGAAAGTAACAAAATACCTTGCTCCACCATTTGATTTAGTTGGTGCAGGGCCCCAAACATCTGAGTGAATATAGCTGAGTTGCTCCTTGCTTCGGTTATCTACACTGCTACTTGCGAATGATACCTTTCTTTGCTTTCCGAGAACACAGTATTCACAAAAGTCCAGTTTGCAAGATGACACGCCTTCCAATAGGCCTTGCTTGTGTAATTCTTGCAACGCTTTCTGGCTTATGTGCCCGAGCCTATGATGCCAGAGTTCAGTTTTGTCTTCTACACTCTGATTTATAGAAACAGTTGCTCCCCCGACTATAGTGGTCCCAATTAACTTATACAACTTATTGGGTTGTAGGTCACCCCGCATTACCACTAGCGATCCTTTGGTTACCCTGAGTCTTCCTTTTTTAGACTTGTACTCATAACCGGCCTCATCTAAAGTACCCAAGGAAATCAAATTCTTTCTTAGTCTAGGGACATACCTGACGTTCCCCAAAGCTCGTATCATCCCATCGAACATTCTGATTCGAACGATGCCGATTCCTCTTACAGGACATGAAGAATTGTCCCCCATTAAGACTTCCCCGCTGCTGACTTCTTTGTAAGTATCGAACCATTCCCTTACTGCACACATATGAAAAGTGCATCCGGTATCCAAAATCCAATTGGTGAAAGCCTTGGAGCCTGATGTTACTGAAAGAAGCTCCCTGTCACTCTCATGCTCGGTGACTGCACTAGCTGAACCTGAGCTTCCTTCCATCTTGGCTTTCTTCTCTTTCCAAATCTTGCAATTCCTCTTCCAATGATCGGCTGAACCACATTCGAAGCAACCTTCCTTCTTTTCCTTTTTCTTCTTGGATTTTGACCTACCTCTATTGCTGATTTTCTCTTCCTGTCTTTTCCCGCCCCCTCTCCTTGCCTTTGGCATAAAGGCTTTGAGAGCTTTCAGTTATATCATCCAGTTTAGCATATGACTGAAGAGCTTGAATTACGTCTTCAAGCTTCAGGGACTCTTTTCCAAACATTAGAGTTGTTCGAAAGTGCTTGAAAGACGAAGGTAGAGACCTCAGCAAGATGATAGCCATATCATCATCTTTGTAAGTTTCTTCGACCTTCTGAAGATTAGCTATGCAATTCTGGAACCTGCATACATGATCTTCAATATCACCTCCTTCTTCTAGTCGAAGCCCGAATAGTTCATCCTTTAGAAAAAGTTTATTGGACACGGTTTTGCCCATATAAACATTCTCCAACTTTTTCCATGCTTCCTGGGCAGTCATCTTTTCAGTGATGTGTGACTGAACTGATCTTGTGAGATGGATCTCGATGGAACTCTTGGCCTTCTTGAGAACCTTAGTCCATGCTGCCTCTGTCATGTTTTCCGGCTTCTTACCATCGAGTGCATCATCCAAATCCTGTTGTATCAGTACGTTCTTCATCATCATTTGCCAGTCCGTGAAGTCATCCTTGCCGTCAAAGGGCTTTAATGCAGGTCCTTGATCCGCATTCATCTTCCCTTTTGACATCGTAGAACACCTTGATCCTAGCTCTTGATACCAATTGTTGAAAAACCCGCACACTAGACCTTGTTCTTTAATGTAACCAAAGACAATAGACTAAACTAGCAAATATTAGAAAACTTAGAAACACACAAGAATTATACTGGTTCGGCAGAACTTTTGCCTACGTCCAGTTGTGATTTCTCCAGGTAGAGAAATCACTGCTCCTTTGATTAATAATAGAGATTACAGAACTTTTGCAAACCCTAGAACTAATCTCAAAACTCTTGGCTGTCTGGCTGTTTTCTTTCTCTCTTAAAAATCAGCCTTGCCGCACCCTATTTATAGACATAGGGTTGGCTTACATGTCCCTAGACATAGGGTTGGCTTACATGTCCCTAGACATAGGGTTGGCTTACATGTCCCTAGACATAGGGTTGGCTTACATGTCCCAAAGCTGATTGAATTCCTATTTCTAAGTGGATTAGGAAATTACACTTATCCAAATCCAAACAGACTTCTAGAAATCCAAACCTAAATTGAATAAGGAAACTGAAATTCTTTCCTAATCCCTCTAGGACAAGAATCGGTATACCTCTAGGTCTCCTAAAACAATCCTAAACCAACTAGACTAGGACATATTCGACGAGCCAAAATCCTAACAAGTGGTACTGACAGTGGGTGTGTGGTCATTTCATTGTGTGGGAGATCTTTAATGTTCTTAGGTTGAAAACAGATTTAGGTTGACTGACTAGCTTTCCTCATCTCTTGCTTTTGATGGCTTCTGCTTGGTTGTTTCTTTAATCGGGTGAAGCCCAGGGACACGTTGTCCCCTCTGTTGTATTTCTCTCTTTTCAATGAAGTTTTGTTTCTTGTAAGAAAAAAACTTTACTAATTTCATCTATGTGGTCATGTGATGAAAAAATTACAGTGGGTGAAACTTTCAACTGAATGAACAGACAATTATTGATTTATCGATTTAAGTGCCAGAGTTTTCAACTCTAGGGACTAGATATTGTCACAGATTTAAATTTTAGGGTGTTGCTGAATTTGTTTTGCAATGTATATACATGTTAATGCGTCTACTTTTGGAGTAACCTTGAATCTTGTGGTAACGTATCCTGCAGTTGGGTCTTCAACGGTTGAAGGACTACCCTCAGCCCTTTTGGTTGGCTTTGTTTGTAGAAGGAACTCGTTTTACACAGGCCAAGCTTTTAGCAGCACAAGAATATGCAGCCTCAACTGGGTTGCCTGTTCCTAGAAATGTTTTGATTCCTCGTACTAAGGTAAAATTCTTACTGCATCATCCCATGATAAGGACTCAGCAATAATTATTTTTGTGGAATGCCTTTTCCATTCCTTGCTGGTTAAGAACTCGCCATCAGCAAAAGTACAATGTTTTGGAATCTCCCTTTACGGGACCATTATTCTCTATCACACTGTGGTCTGGCATATCTAATCAATTCCTGTTTCTTTCAGGGTTTTGTCTCTGCAGTAAGTCACATGCGCTCATTTGTTCCAGCCATCTATGATGTAACAGTGGCTATTCCTAAAGCTTCACCTTCACCAACAATGTTAAGACTCTTTCAGGGGCGACCTTCTGTGGTAAGCCTACCATAGTTCAGGTTTTAAAATAGGCTGTTTAAATAATTTTGTATGTATGTTGTAGCAATAGCATGTAGGTTTGGACATTAAATTTATATGTTGTAGCAATCTGGCATTTTTGCGCAAGGCATTTTAAGAAAGATCCGTCCAGATCGTTGTGATGTGATGTGCAATGCAAGTAGTGAAACTGTCTATCATTCTCTTATTCTGTGGTCTTGGGTCACTAGTTGACATGTCATTTCTTCACTGTGTGTTCTAGCTGAGGAAAAAGGGCATAGGAAAGTGTTTTGTGTTATGCAATTTTGGACATTGTTGGTCAATTGGTTCTACCAGAATCTTTGAGGGGTCCTGCTTTTCTAATATATTTCCCGTGGGTAGTAGGAAGTGCTTTATGTCATCGCTGGATGTCAACTACGTAATTTGAAGTTATTCTCCTATCCTGTTATAATGCTAGATTTGCGTACTCCAGTCATTTGATTTTCACTTTGCTTTACTGCTAAAATGATACAAAATGGGAGCAGGGTTGTGCACTGTGCTGCCTTTTTTATATTTGGGTTTATATAAACTTGCTTGATTGCTACTCTCTTGCAGGTGCATGTGCAAATTAAGCGGCATTTAATGAAGGAATTGCCCGAAACCGATGAAGCTGTTGCCCAGTGGTGTAAAGATATCTTTGTGGCAAAGGTGGTTGCTATATTTTATATCTTATGTTGCATGGTCTTGTGTTCCTCGCATTTCTGTCATCATTCAAAAAATAAAAGGAAGAAATGAAGACGATTTTGCATAATATATTCTTGAAATAAATGAAGTTGCTAATCCTGTTTTCCTCTCCAATGATTCATGTACTAATCTTCGCATTCTGTATCTTCTTATTTGCCTGTCGTACACTAGGATGCATTTTTGGATAAACATACAGCAGAGCAAACTTTTGGCGATCAAATATTGCAACCTACTGGTCAGCCACGAAAGTCTCTTTTGGTGGGATACATGCTCTTACAAGCCTTTTTTTTTTATTAGCGTGTATGTTTTTTCCTCTATATTTGTGTTACACGAGGTGTTTAACTTTTATACCGTGCAGGTTGTTGCGTCTTGGTCATGTCTACTTATTTTGGGGGCTCTAAAGTTCCTCTACCGGTCTTCACTTCTATCCTCGTGGAAGGGTATTGGGTTCTCAACATTGGGTTTGAGCATTGTTACCGTCCTTATGCAGTTCTTGATTCGGTTTTCTCAGTCAGAGTTCAACCCCAGCCCGAGTGGCTCCAGCCAAGGACAATAGCAAAGGAGAGTCTTCAAGCAACCTAGACAAACAGCAATAGAGTACAGCTCGGCTCCAATGTCTTTTACAACCGGGCAACTTGTGATTCATGTGGCTTGTGTGCTTTCTCACCCCTGCCTTAAGTTAGTGAAGTTCCTTCGCTGTGCCGTGGTGCCCCTTTGATTTTGTAAAACGCGTATTATGTATGCCCATCTCGATTCATTAACGGTTGGTTGATTAGGTCAATTTCTGTATGGACTCCGAAAAATGGCTGTAGCAGCACTTCTAGGTCTAGAAATCCCCTATGAAATTAAACTTCCTTTGATCTTGTTTGTCAATTTTAATGTCAGAAACCCTTCAAAACATCAGCATTTGGGACCATGGTGAAGCTATGGACATTTTTACTTTATAGCTCTTCTGTATAATTTTTCTTTTTATTCATTTATGGTTTAGAGGAAAATTTGGCGTGTTGAAATCTCTTCCCTTTTTTGCATGAAAAATGTGCATAAGAAAACCAAGCAACATCAATACAGGCTAGTTGAACCTCTTCCCTTGATGGTCGGAAAGCTCTTCAATAACAAATTTTAACATGGTATAAAATACCGAACTTGGTCGGAAAATTTAAATAAAAAGTACTCAATTAAAAAAATTAATTAATTAATTCCCAATTTATATCTCCCCCATATAATACACATGCACTTCTTTAGAGAATGTAAATGAGATGTGGTTTTTACATCTCATTTGCATCTCTCCCCTGAAATTGCACAAAGATGGGCATTTAACACTTCCAACTAGGCAAACTCCAATATGCGTATACTCTTTTACTCTCAGCAACCAAATGATAAGTGGAAACTAAGAAGATATACCAGCAATCCTGTGATGCAGTTGCGCCCTAAAAGCCAATTGGAGATAACGTGACTACTTCGTTTTTAATTTATTAAATAATAGGGTAAATTTTAAGGAAAACTAATGAAAATGGCTTGAAAACTTTGAGTTTTAATGATAAGGACAAAATAAAGGGTAAAGTGAATAGTACCAGGATTGACTTTTTAGTGTAAAAATGTGGTTTTTCGTTAAAGTGAACAATACCGGGTGCTTTTCGTTAAAGTTCCCTAAATTTTATTCTTGTATGAGTTTGGTTTTACATTATAGAGAATATACTCTGAATCAGCCCATAGGACTTAAGGCATGAAAACAATATCCTAAACAAGATTAGGACAGGGAGACTTATTCCACAGTCACTCAACCTTGAACAAAGTTCCTAGCCATTTGGAAAGTCAACTGGACATTGACTATTGAAATGGGCCGATGTATATCGCATTAAGGTTAGCATGGTCTTGTTCTACATATGTTGGACACGTGGTGGATATACATGTTCTTATCTACTGTACAAGTTTACTAAACACTGACTGTCCAAGAAGCTATAACATATTGATTCTTAGAGCATCCCCAATAAGGGGCTCTATATGAGGCTAGAAAAGTGATGGATATAACTCGATTTAGAGCTCCAAGGAATCTTTGGGGCTCTAAAAAAGAATCTCTCCCAATAAGGGGCTATATATCTTTTGAGCTCTATATGGGGCTATATATTTTATTTATGTAGTAATTTGATTACGCTGTAAATATATTTGTGTCTTAATTTTTCTTAACTTGATTTTAGACGTGTTATCTTAAATTTTAATTTATGGACTTTTTAACCTAAAAAAATTCAAATTCTGACAAAGTTATATTTCATCACTTATGCACTATTGTAGGCTCTCTTATCTCAATCTCATCCATTGGTTTGTTTATATGAAATCAGACAAGATAAGATTTCATTTCATAACAACCATTGGATTTGATTATCTTATCTCAATCTCATCCATTGGTTTATTTCTTTAATTGACACATTCTCCGAAATCAAACAAGATTTTCATTTCATAACAACCATTGGATTGGATTATCTTCTCACAATTTAGTAATGTTATTTGTTTATATTTTCAGTTTAGGTCTCTAAACTACCAATGTTAAATTTCATTCCTTTTTTTTATGAATTGTTCAATATAGAAAATTAAACACAAAGCACTACATTTTTTTCTAAGCAATCACACAAAAAATAGTCGTTGTTTGTATATGTTTTCTTAATCAAACAAACGGTTGAAAATAAACCCTTAAAATCCTAAACGGTTGAAAAATAAACCCTTAAAATCAAGTTTTGGAATTAAAAATCGGGCTCACCCATTTCTAAACTTAAAAAAAAAAAAAAAAAAAAACCAAGATTGGGCCCTCAATTTGGTGTGGGTCCCCCTAGTTTTTAGGGCTAGATATAGCCTACTTTTTGCTACCCAAGGATTGAAGTTGCTAGTCCATGTGGTGGATGTAGCCCCATTTTCCAACCATTGGGGATGAAAATTTTCATTAGAGTTACAAATGCGGTAGCCTCAAGGAGGATAAAGCCTCCATTAGAGATGCTCCTATCACATGTGAAATGTTAAAAAACTTTGGGTTGTAGTGTACGAATAATTCTCAGACTTGAGGCATCATTGAATATCTTGTGCTTATAGATAAGAACTCAACTTCACCTCAAAGCATTTACTACCTCGCAAGTCCCGATATTGTTGCTTTGGTTCATGTGTATAAGTATAGAGATACATGAATGCACAATAAGGAATCTATAATCTTCTGGTAATTGTTCAATGAAAGGATATCCCTTGCAGCAATATAATGAAATCCCTTGAAGCAATTGAAAAATCTTTGGACAAATTACTTCTTGATCAAGCTATGTTTGTAACAACTGTTTCAGAATGGGATTTTACATTATTCTATACCACATAAATCTTGATCACAATACCAATGATAGAAGAACCAAATTGCATTGTAATTATAATCAAGGTTCAAAAGCGTATCATGATTATTTCATAGATACTTCTATCTAATTTGGGTAGGCATGACATATTGTTAAGTCTCATTCATAGCTTGTGAAATTAAATAATTTCAATAAAAACTTTTGTTAGAACCTAAAAGATCACGCACCTATGATTTTATAGACCATAAATTCTCACTAATCAGAGTAACGGAATGAAGGAAATACGCCTCTGGAGTTCATTCATGGACTAAATGACTCCAATTGGGTTGGGCCATATAAACGGACCAATAGTACCACCACACTTAATTGGACCCCAGAATGGTAGATAGGGCTTGCAAGCCTTGTCGAGAATGACATATTTGTTCTGCAAAACACAGAAGCTTGATCTGACTGGATCATTGGTTTCCTATATTCTTAATGATTCCTCCAATCTAGAGATTAGCTTGAGTTACAAGTGATCAAAATCCTAAGAAAAAATAATATATAATGCTAGAGATTATTTAGGATTTTGCCTATTTATTACTGATTCACTATCTTAAAAGGTTTCTCTCTTGACTAGTAAAAATACACCTTTTTAGTCTTCATAAGAGGTAATTTGATATCAAGCATCTCGTATATATATCACTCTCGCTCTCTTGCCCACTGAATGAGTTTTATAAATCCTTCACTAACTTGAACGTTGGAGAACCTTTGGCCGGTATCTTAGGGTTTCACAGCTATTCGTTCTTTCTTGTAGGTGGTCAATCAAAGGGCTCCACTGCCCACACCGTTGTGAAAGTTTTTTTTTTTTTAGTATAACGATATGTTTTACACTAAGGAAAGAGAGAAATTCGCGAAGCCACATAGTAGGCAACCTAATTTGGTATCGAATTCGTTATCTATGAGATTCGAACCTAAGACCTCTCACTTACAAGTGAAGAGAAATATCACCAAACCGTAGTACTGAGTGACACTATTATGAAAGTTTGGTTCCAACAGATTGTACTAAGGACATATGTCCATAGCGATTAGATTTGTCCCTCATGGAAAATGAGAGAAAAACTCCATAGTCGTTTTTCCTAGTGTGCCCCAAGAGATTTAGTCTATAATGATCTTGCTAGCACAGTCAAATCATTCACTCCATCTTCCGTCCACTACAACACGAATTGTCATTAGTGAGGTTCAAATGTCGTAAAAAATGGCGTTTGTTGTCGGAAAAAAGTCGTCGCTGGTTGACACATCCCGAATCAGATGTCCAGTTAGACACTGAAGTCATGGCATGCTGGCCAACATCCCGAAGGTAACAAAGCCATATTATGAAAATGTTGGGTAAAAGTGAGAATAAATTAAAACGGAAGCCTATAATTATTGGTGAGAGTGTGCAGTGCGAGATACACATGTATTACATAAATATAATATCAGAGCATAGATGCAAGTGCAGTAAGGGTAAGAATATTCTAATCCTAGGTAGTACAGATATTATACAATTATAAAAATTAAAAATTTCTACATTAATCGAAATGTATGTCAAAATCGCCCAAGATCCCTCGCTTGCCATAGAAATCTAGCTACTAAGTCCTTCAAGGGCGGGCAACAGAAAGTGTGAGCGGGAAAAAAAAGATTTAGTAAAACCTTTGTTTTTCTCAACATAATATCCTCTCACTGTAAAACCCGCATATAGTTTCCAAAATCATACTACCTATAAGTGTGAAAATCAAGTACCATATAAAACAATTATTTCCAATTATACGGTAAACCACAATATCATAACAACAGTCTAATATGCTTTATTCATATCATACTGCGTAATAGTATGAAAATCAATTACCGTAAAATCCAAATATTCAAATGTACGGTAATTCACAACATCTCCACTATATAATTTAGTATACTCATCACAATTATGCAGACGCAAGTCCATGCAGAAAGTAGCTACGTGGAATAGGCTGGGTGTAACAATCTACGCTCAAGTACAAACATACACGTGAACCTGCGCTAAGCGTATCAAATACGAGTCTTAGTTGCCCTATTGCAAATTAGTAGATTGACACCTAGAATGGATCCAAGCATGAGCGAGTCTTAGTTGCCCTATTAAAAACATCACTGCGTAACAAAATGGAAAATCAGTGGTTGAGTAATAGTATGATTGTTGACATTGAGAGAGATATATTTGGTTTTATTGTTAATGAGCCTATTATACGACGTTTTCATGACAAGAAATTTTGTTGGCAACAATTGTACCTTGTTTGTATTGATAAATTATAAATGACATTAATATTGTGTACTATCTAAAAGGATTTGGTTGTCTATATTTTTTTGGGACCCTTTATCTTTTTAAATTTTGCCCCTTCCTGATAATTCCTGATTTCATCACTGATTCAGCCCCATTGGACAAACCCAGCACAAGGTAACCCCAATTTTCATTCCATTCTTTGCGTCCTCTTCGTTTTCGTTTTGTTTTTCATTGTTTTGAATTATACTCTGCAGACACATAATTCAAATGGGAATGCGTTTATTTTATAATTTTGTTTGGCCCCATTGGACAAACCCTAAATGGTTTGGTTACAGTCCTAAACTGAATTTTTTTTTTTTTTTTTTTTG